TTCCTGCTTTACTGGTGGGGACTGGCCTTGACCGAGGGAGGAGGTGCGCAGCGAAGCCTGGGAAGTCCTGGGAGCTGGGGTTGAGGAGGCGTGTGCCGGGGAGTCTGGGCTTCGTGGCCTGGGCGGCTGGCGCCTCTGAGCGTTCACGGGACCCCTGCCCTACACCGGGAGCACCGCCCCATGGTCACCAGCCCCCGACAGAGCCAGGCCTGGGGGTTGGGGTGCGGAGGGGGTCCCGCACCCTCGAGTACAGAGGGGAGCCCCATACCCACTACGCAGGTGGAAACCCACCTGCAGAGGGAAGAGCTATGAGGGTGCAGGGAGTGTGCCGGACGGTGGGCGGCGCCACCTGTGCGGGACGCACCGGAAGAACCTGAGTTGGGAGCGCGGACTGCTAGGGGTTGGGGTGGTGGGGGGAGGGGCAGGCCATGGGAGGGACCTGTAGCCAGGTGATCTAGGAGCTTGGACTTCGTCCCAAGGACAACGTGGCGCCCCAAGGAGCGTTTGCGGCTGGCTGAGACCTGCTCAGATGAGGCTTTCAGAGAGCTCCAGGTGCCAAAGGGCATGGAAGGAAGAACAGGACTGGGGGGTGGGGAATGGTCAGGTGTCCAATCCTAGTCCTGGAATGGAAGAGGTGGGGGCAGAGAAGTGGGCTGGGCCTTCCTGGTTTGCCCCCCAGACCCACCTTCCTCCCTCCCTATGGCCTGTGCTCTGGGCCGCATCGGTGGCCCCATCCCCCACTCTCCCCTGGCTTCCGGGTGAGTTTGGAAGCCAGCCCAGAGGTTGGGGAATTTCCCCAGCTCCCTCCCAGCTGGGCACAGACCTCTCCTCTCCCTGAGGTCCTCTCCCTGAGGTCCTCTCCCTGAGGCCCCAGTCCCTACCCTGAGGCCCTTTCTACCCTCTTAGGGCTCTGAGGCCAGCCCCCACCCGGGTCTTCACCACCCTGTTGGTTTCGCCTACCTCTTGCCTGCACCTTGGTAAATGGACCTTTTATAAAAGTCCTTTTCTCTCTTTGCACCTTTCTCCTGCCAGGACGCTGACTTCCTCCAAGTTAAGGAAGAGAGAGGAGGCAAAGACGGCACCCAGTGGTCACCTGGACCCCCTACTGTCACTGGGAAACAGGTGAACAGGCCAGGAGAGCAGGTGTGCAGGGGTCAGCTGTTGAGAG